TAACAGAGTTAAACCCCCAAGTTTAGGGGTGTCTTACCCCCACAGTATTTGTTCCCAGAGAGTAAGTCATTTGTGTAACAAGTTTGATTGAAATTGCTCGAGGAGTTATGTTGGAATATACACACACAGCCAAATATATATATATATATTTGTAAAAAATCTAATTTGTAAAAAATCTAATATATAGTCGTGATGGACTCTTGTGATGAGCCGATAGACAGATGATGGAAGCAGTTAGCTTCGTCCCATAATTGGGGCTTACCAGGGGTTGTAAAAAATCTAATATATATATATATATGTGTGTGTGTGTGTGTGTGTGTGTGTGTGTTGTAATTGTGCAACACACACACACACACACACACACATATATGTATAATTTGTAACACAAATGTAACAAGGCAACATAAAAAAATGGCTTTCTGCCTGGTATGCTCCCTCCCATATTTGGGCATACCAGGGGTTGTGGCACAATACATATATACTGTTTAAGGTGACTGTTGCCTTCCCCAAATGTGTTGGGACACCCCCTGCCGCAATTCGAAGCTGATTCATCTCTTTGAAGAGTACAATACAAAAAAAGCAGAGATTCAAAATGATAATCTTTGAATTTCCAATCAAAAGATCGGCTGTGGAGAGAAAGTTTACTATTCAATGGTGATTGGGACCAAATTTCTCTTAAATTTGAATTGATGATTAGTTAATGATTACTCTCAGAAATACAGTTACAGATAGCCCTCAACTTAGGCCCACATTTGAGCTCAACCTTTCTGTTGCTAAGTGAGGCAGTTGTTGAGTGAGTTTTTCCGCCTTTTCTTGCCACAGTTGTTAGCAATAGCAAGTTAAATAAAGGGTACTTCTCGGTTTACAATCATTCATTTGGACAATCATTCATTTCAGTGACCATTAGAAATCATGAGGACACTGAAAAATGTGGCCTATGACTTTCACACTTACGACTCTTGCCGTATCTCCGTGGTCACATGATCCAAATACTTACGACGGTTGCAGTTTCCTGGGGGTGACGTGATCCCCTTTTGCGACCTTCTGACCAGCAAAACCAACTGGGATGCCAGATTCTCTTAACAACCATGTTACTAACGTAGCTGCAGTGATTCACTTAACAACGGTGGCAAAAAAGGTTGTAAAATGGGGCAAAACTCATTGAACTGCCTCACTTAGCAACAGAAATTTTGGGCTCAGTTGTGGTCACAAGTCAAGGATTACTGTACGATGGAAGTAATCGACTCTACTTAATTTATTCTTAAAAGGGACACTGGCGCAGTGGCTAAGACGCTGAGTTTGTCAATCAGAAGGTTGGCGGTTCGAATCCCTAGCACTGTGTAATGGAGTGAGCTTGTCCCAGCTTCTGCCAAAATAGCAGTTTGAAAGCAGGTAAAAAACGCAAGTAGAAAAATAGGAACCATCTTTAGTGGGAAGGGAACAGCGTTCCGTGCGCCTCCGGCATTGAGTCATGCCAGCCACACGACCACGGAGACGTCTTAGGACAGCGCTGGCTCTTCGGCTTTGAAACGGAGATGAGCAGCGCCCTCTAGAGTCGGGAACGACTAGCAGAGATGTGTGAGGGGAGCCTTTACCTTAATTTATTCTTGCTGTAAAAAGGAGTTCTTTAAATGGCTTTTCATCATAACAGGTAAGGTATTAAGTGGTTTACTGCAGAAAATATTGCTCCACAATATTCCCATTAAAGATTTGGAAGAAGAGATGGAGAGAATCTGTATGAAATCTGTAAAGGACAGAAAATTAAGCGAGATAACAAATACCCTAGAAGACAGAAATAAGATGCAAAATAGTCTTATTAGGGTGGCTGAAACCTAACCACACTATAAAAAAGAGGTTGAGACTCTGGAAAGAGTGCAGAGAAGAGCAACCAGGATGATGAGGGGACTGGAGGCTCAAACAGAGGATGAACAGTTGCAGGAACTGGGCCTGGCTAGTCAAGGGAAGAGAAGGACCAGAGGCAGAAGAGCATCTTCCAATATTTGAGGGGCTGCCACAGAGAGGAGGAAGGGGGTCAAGCTATTCTCCAAAGCCCCTGAAGGCCAGACAAGGAATAATATGGATGGAAACTGACCAAGGAGAGATTCAACCTAGAAATAAGGAGAAATTTTCTGACAGTGGGAACAATCAACCAACGGAACAGAAGTTGCTTTCAGAAGGTGTGGGAACTTCCTCCCTGGAGGCTTTCAAGAAGCAACTGGACTGCCATCTGTCAGAAATGGTATAGGGTCTCCTGCTTGGGGGGGGGTGAGTAGATCTCTACAGTCCCTTCTAACTCTTAATCTGTTGATCTAACAGCGACAAATGCAAAGTTTTTCACTTAGGGTAGTGAATAGCCATGATATTCATGGAAAATATCCTTGATTGCAACCTGGATGGGAGCCAGCGGTGTGATGCAAAACTGCAAAAGAGACAAAGGCGATCTCGTTTCCAAATTAGAAATAATTGTTTTTATTGAATTTTCATCAGGGACTATTCTGGGTTCAGTTTTGGGCACTGAGAGGGACTTAGTGAAAGCAGTTTCACTAAGTTTAGAAGAGAGAAAAGGAGTTTAAAATTAAATCCAAAAACACCCGAGGGCAGATCAAGAAGTAACGGTGTGGGGGGGGAAGCTTTAATTAAAGACAGATCCAACCTAAATTTAAGGGGAAATTTCCTGACAGTGAGAACAATCTATCACGGGTGCTCCATCACGGGTGGGCGAAAACCATTCATGGTAGCCTTTATCAGATGGGAAGCAAAATATAAAGGGAAAGTGCAATAATTCTTGGAGACAAATGATATCTTGACGTGGTTGAGAGACTTTGCCAATCTTGGCTACTCTTAAGACCTGTGTACTTCAACTCCCAGAATTCAGGAGAACCTTGGCCCAGATTTATCTGGTACCCCAAATGTGTCCTCTGTCAGGGTTCGAAATAGCATCCCAAATAAAATAAGAATCCGAGGCGAGAGGTTCCTCAAAATTCCATTTATTTAAAAGAGCCATGTTGGCACATCTGGGGAAACCCGAATCCGAAAGCCTCCAGGTTTTCCCACCCGGTTGAAAGTTCAAGATCTTGCCCCAACATCCACAAATCCATCCTGTGGTCCCCTCTTCCACTGCCATGAAGACAGATTTTACTCCTATCGACATCCGGCCAAGTGCAGGAACAAATGTGACCTTGACTTTCTGAGAAAGAATGTTGTTATGGCTACCCATCGCCCAACTCTATATTCCCATTCTCCCACAGTAGAAAGTATGCCTGACATCCCCCATCTCTCTTTAAAGTCCATTAAGTCTTAAAGTTGCTAAATTGGGGGAACCCCTCGGACTAGAAAACCTCCAAGGCATCTTCAGTGGTGGGCTTCAAATTTTTTTAGCAAGGGGTTTTCTGCCCGGTTGCTGGGTGGGCGTGGCCATGGTGGGCATTGCCTAGTCGGCCTCCTGCACCAGGGGGGTGGGGAGTTTTTCTCTCCCCGGGCTCTGGAAGTTTCCCCCAAGTCTCCGGGAGGGTGAAAACGGCCTCCCCAGGCTCCCAAGGCCCTCCCAAACTTCTGATAGGGCCGTTTTTCGACCACTCCGCGCCTCCGTGTGCGCCTTGCACTTACCTGCATCCAAAACAGGCCACGTGGGAACTCCGGGAGGCATGGGCGGGGCCAGCCAGGAGTGGGATTTGGGGGTTGTCTGAACTGCAGAGAATCTTAGCTAGAGGTTCTCCTGAACCCCTGCGGACCTCCAGCAGCCCACCCCTGGCTTCCAACTCCGTTGTTCTGTTATAGTTGTCCATGCTCTTCTTTTAGTTGTACATGTCCTATGCTGTTAAGCTGCCCAGAATCTCTTACAGTCAGGAGATAAATAAGAATAAATCATATCCCATCTGGGAGCTTTGCACAGTATCCTGAGCCATAAACTAACTACTGGGCCCTCCAAAGCGCATGAAAAATGAACCGAGATAGTACAATAGTACTTAGATATATATTGGTGGGATTTATTTTTAGGCTGGGCTCACACAACCTGTAAGTGGGTTAGTGAGTTGTGGGAGCCAAGCCTTGTCTTTGGAGGCTGTGTGCGTTCATTTGTCTCATTGAACAATCATTTGTATCCTAGGTAGAGGCAGACATTTTTCTCTCTGGGCACAATGAGGATATGACTGCTGAATGAAACTCTGTATTGGCGACAGGGACGGTATCTGGCCAGTAAATAGTCAGCTCCATTCAGTTGCCCAGAGTCCACACTGCAAGGGCATTTACTTTTATTCCAGTAACTTTCCCCAGGGTTTTCCCTGTTCTCCTCCCTTCCTTACTGTTTTGTGGTTTCTTTTTGGGGGGCGGATCTCCCGCTTTGTGTTTTTTTTTTACTATCGGTTTTGTGGGCGTGGCTTGGTGGGTGTGGCAGGGTAAGGATACTGCAAAATCCCCAGTCCCTCCCCACCCTACTACCCTGCTTTCCCGCTCGGTTCTCCTGTCCAGGGCAACAAAAGAAGATCAGCTGGTAGGCAGCGAGGGCGGGGCCAGCCTATTTGCTGGTTCTCCGGACTACTCAAAATTTCCACTACCGGTTCTCCAGAACCTGTCAGAACTGGCTGAATACCACCTCTGTGTATACGTCGCTGCGCAGTCCTTTTACAGCCCTCTCTAAGGGGTTTACAGAGTCAGCCTCTTGCCCCCAAACAATCTGGGTTCTCATTTTACCCACCTCGGAAGGACGGAAGGCTGAGTCAACCATGAGCTGGTCAGGATCGAACTCCAACTGTGGGAAAGGTTTCATTACAATTTTGTATTTTAACCACAGGGAGGGAGGAGTAAGGAGCGGAAGGAAGGAAGGAGGGGCAATAATAACACTTAGACTTATATATCACTTCACAGTTGTTTACAGCCCTCTCTTAGCAGTTTACAGTCAGCCTCTTGCCCCCAAACAATCTGGGTCCTCATTTTACCGACCTCTGAAGGATGGAAGGCAGAGTCAACCTTGAGCCTGGTGAGATTCAAACTGCCAAATTGCAGGCAGCTGGCAGAAGTAGCCCTGCAGTACCGCACTCTAACCATTTTGCCACTGTGGCTCATAATGGATTTGGGAAGGGGGAGGATTGATACAGGATACCAGACCAGCAATCCCAACTGTTGGGGAAGAGCTGTCACTCAGAACTGAACTGTTGGACCGTGGTGTTCTCCGAGCTCCGAGAACATCAAGAACCCAAGAGAAGGACGGCCATTTTCAGAACACCCCGTTCTGTGTTTTCCGGTGCCTATTTTAAGAATGTGACAGAAGGACAGGATATTTTCCCTTGGGTAGATGAAGCAGCTTCTTGTCAGCAGAACAAAAGGCGCCGGGTGGTTTCGGTTCAGCTCTGCCTGCTTGGAAGATGGGGGGGCCCTCCAAAATTCCTGGCTTCTTCCAGAAACAGCTGTCCACAGAGAAAGAGAAATCAATGAGGGGGAGGGGGGAACAGGGTTTAAACAGCATCAGTGGCCTGGCAGTGTTCGGTTAGTCTCAAACCCAAAAGCGACGGAATCCGGCATTCGCACAAGACCACGGCTTCGGACTGCGTAACGGTTCGGCCGACTCTCCCTGCCGGGGAGGGGGTTAGTGGCGAGAGCAGCCCCTGGCGGGGAAGGAGGCGGCGGTGCAGAGGGCCCTCTTTCTGGAAAGCGAAGGGGAGGAGGGTGGCGGAGGCGGTGGGAGCGCGCAAAAAGGTGTGCACCACGCGGCAAATCCGGATCGTTCGGTCCCATGCAGACAGGAATGGGCAGCAGGCGGTAGAGGTGAAGTCGGCTCGAGGAGGCGAAGGAGGGGGACGATTACAATGCGCATTTGACGAGGCGGACGCGGGAGGTTCTGTGAAAGCCGTTTAATCGTTCACATCTTAAAAACCAGGGAGGGGGGAAGCAAACAACTTGCCGCCAACGACCCCATTTTGTTTAACCCGGTTGTACAAAATTAAAACGAGAACAAATCAACGGGGGAAAAAAAGGAAAGATATCGATCAAACCAGGGAGCACCCAAGAATACAGCAAAGCAAAAAAAAAAACCAAAAACCCAAAAGCCTGGTTTAGAGAGGCTGGCATCGTGGCGGCGGCGGTAGGGAATCGAAGCTTAGCACGCAAAACACACAGCAAGCAAAGATTGGAGCTGGCAGAAGGGGGGAGCCGTTGTGTGCAAAGGTCTGCGGCATTCCGGGCCGGAGGGAAGAGTTCGGAAAAAAAACCAGACAACGGACAACACCGTCTTCGGCCCCATCGCAGTTTCGCAAGGCGGGGTTGGCGTGGCAGTTCTTCGACCGGATCGGATCGAAACGTGGGGGGAAGGGAAAAAAGGAAGGAAGAGAAAGGAGAAGTGGGGGGGGGGAGGAAAGGAGGAGCACACAAAATGCAGCATCACCAACCTTGGAAGTCAGTGCTCGGCTGGTCGGCCAGGAGGCATCGCCCCGAGTCTGCCCAGGAAGAGCCTGTAAAGAAATCTACGTAGTTTAGGGGGTACATATGAATCGCAAGATGACCGCATTGACCCCAGAAATCACAACTGTCTGTCTGGAAGCAAACTCTACTCTACTCCCATGATGGCGAACCTATGACACATGTGCCCAAATTGGACCCGTGGGATATCATGGGGGGGTGGGAACAAGAGGGGGAACCTAGGGTCTTCTGGGAACTGCTAAACTACAGTGCTCCTCAGCTAGGACCTGTACTCACAGCTTACAACCATTCCTTTAGTGATCGTTCAAAATTACAACGGCACTTGGCCATGGTCACGTGATCAAAATCCCAGCACTTGGCATCTGGCCTGTATTTATGATGGTTACAGATATGATGGTTACAGTTGGTCTTCATATGTCTGGCGCTCCAGTGCGCATCTACGCACATTCCAATTTGGGCAGTTTGGTGCCAAAAAGGTTTGCCATCACTGTTCTAGACTGGTTTTCCACCTCCAGGAAAGGCGGATGGACACGAATGCCTTGGAGGACTCCTAGATCAGAGGTCCCCAACTCCCAGGCCGCAGGCCACTCCTGGGCCTTGAATCGTTTGGAAGCGGGCCACGGAAGTGGCAGGCGGCCATGTGCGCCCATCTCCATTTGCGTGAGCAGAAAGCAAGCACAATGCACATTGCTGAAATTGCCCGAGCGGCGGACATGTGCGCTTGCCGTTTCCACAAATGGAGATTCTTTCACTCACGCCAATGCGCTTGTACGCAACCATCCCGCTGTTCCCCTCCTGCTTGTCCGCAAAGCTGGGAAGGTTGATCTATTGTAGATCAGCCATATCAATTTGATCCTGTCTTTTATTTTTTTCCCGCAGGGACAGAGAGAGCAGAAAAAGGAACGTCCCTCCCGCCTCCCGGGCTCCCTTCCCTGGGCCCCCATGCAATGGAGCATCTCTAGACACTTACAACTGGAAGGGTGCAGCGCCCTCAGAACGTCTGGGCGTACTGGTCAGCATAAGCGCTGGCGTACCTCTCATAGTACTCCGCCACATTGTAGGCAGTTCCTAGACTGTACTGAGAGTACGTTGCAGCAGCCGAAGCGGCGGCATACCCAGGTTGGCTGTAGGCTTGGCTGTATGTCTGGTTTGCTGCAGCCATGGCCGCAGCAGCGGCCGCTGCAACCGCCACCGCAGCATAGGGGTCAGTGTATTGGGCCACTACGGCAGTAGGGGTAGTAGATGTCCTCCGCCCCACAGGGCTCCTTTCTCTGTAGGCAGCTGGGGCCGAGGGTAGGGCTCGGTCATACGCCGCTCGTGCTCGGTCGTAGAGCTCGTACGTGTACTGATCACAATACTCCCGATCATACCAGCCACGGGCACAGTAGGGCGAATAGGTGGCCGGTGCAGTGGGCACGCGTCCCCTGGAGAAGTAATAGCTGGACGTCGGCGTGGCCGGGGTGGGCACAGAGGCCCCTTTGGTGGCCCGGAGGGAACTATTACTCTTGGAGAGGGTGACAAAAATTTTCTGATCCTCCAGTGGGGTGTCGTTGAGGTGCAAGATGGCGTCCATGGCTTCCCGCTCTTTGGCCATGTGGACGAAGGCGAAATTCTTGACGATGTCGCACTCCACCACTTTGCCAAAGCGCTCAAAGAGTTGGCGGATCTGGGCGGTGGTGGCTTTGGCCGAGACGTTCCCCACGTAGATCTTGGTGGCGTTGCGGATCTTGGAGGTGGCGTACTCCACCGTCAGGTGGGTCCCATAGAACTCGCTCTTGTGGAGGGTGCTGATGGCCTGATGGGCCTCGTCCTCCTTCTCCATGTGGACGAAGGCGAAATTCTTCAAAATGTCACACTCGTTGACTTGGCCGTACTGCTCAAAAAGCTTCCGCAGCTCTTCGGCGGTGACCACAGGAGAAAGCCCCCCAACAAAGATCTTCACCATGGTGGCCCCACCTTCCAGGAATCCCTTGGGAGAAAGGAGGAAGAGGAAAAGAGTGAATCCAAAGACGTTCAGACATTACACTTATCCCCGGTCAGTGGAACAAGACTGCCCCCACACAAGGCTGGCTTGTTTTATCTTGGTTAGGGGTGGTTGTGTTGCATTCGTTTGCTGCACTGGTCTCTTTGGATTGTTCAGGGTGTTGTACAAACCGGGTTAATTCAGCCATCCTGTGTTGTGTGAACTGAGGCATTCCTTTCCCAACCCATTTTAATGCAAGCTGGTAGACACAATTTTTGGCGTCATCCCAATTATTATCCATGCACAATCATTGGATTTTAGGAAGCTGTCAATAAGCCAATCAATCATTTAAGGCCACCTTGTCTATGAGACAATTCAGTCCCATCATCCTCAGCTGTAACCACCCATATTTAGCCCTTGGCTTATAACCATTCCTTCAGCAGTTTGAAGTTATGACAGTGACTTATGACCTGTCCTCAGATTTACAAACCATTATTGCAGCATCTCTTCTGGGAGTGAAGGCCACTCACCTTAAAGGATGCTGGCTGGGGAATTCTGGGAAGTGAATTTCACTCACCTTAAAGCTGGGGTATCAAACTTGCGGCCCACGGGCCAGATGCATCACTTGCTGGCCACGCCCACCTCCAGTTTACCGAAGGGGGGGAAAGTCATGATACATCACGTTAGGACAACACGAGTTTGACACCCCTGTCTTAAAGCATGCTGGCTGGGGGATTCTGGGAAATGAAGTCCACTCATCTTAAAGCATGCTAGCTGGGGAATTCTGGGAAATGAAGTCCACTCATCTTAAATCATGCTGGCTGGGGGATTATGGGAGTTGAAGTCCACCCATGTTAAGGTATGCTAGCTGGGGAATTCTGGGAATTGAAGTCCACTCATCTTAAAGCATGCTGGCTGGGGGATTCTAGGAATTGAAGTCCACCCATCTTAAAGCATGCTAGCTGGGCGATTCTGCGAAATGTCCACCCATCTTAAAGCATGCTGGCTGGGGAATTGTGGGAAATGAAGTCTACCCATCTTAAAGCATGCTGGCTGGGGGATTATGGGAAATGAAGTCCACCCATCTTAAATCATGCTGGCTGGGGGATTCTGGGAAATGAAGTCCATCCATCTATAGCATGCTAGCTGGGGAATTCTGGGTCTTGCAGCCCACCCCTCTTGAAGCATGCTGCCTGGGGAATTCTGGGAGTTGAAGTCCACCATCTTAAATCATGATGGCTGGGGATTTCTGGGAGTTGAAGTCCACCATCTTAAATCATGATGGCTGGGGATTTCTGGGAGTTGAAGTCCACCCATCTTAAAGCATGCTGGCTGGGGGATTCTGGGAGTTGAAGTCCACCCATGTTAAGGTATGCTAGCTGGGGAATTCTGGGAATTGAAGTCCACCCATGTTAAAGCATGCTGGCTGGGGGATTCTGGGAATTGAAGTCCACCCATGTTAAAGCATGCTGGCTGGGGGATTCTGGGAATTGAAGTCCACCCATATTAAAGCATGCTGGCTGGGGGATTCTGGGAGTTGAAGTCCACCCATCTTAAAGCATGCTGGCTGGGGAATTGTGGGAAATGAAGTCCACCCATCTTAAAGCATGCTGGCTGGGGGATAATGGGAAATTAAGTCCATCCATCTATAGCATGCTGGCTGGGGAATTCTGGGAAATGAAGTCCACACCGCTTCAACCAGCCAAGCCTTAGGAACATACAGAATCCCAATGATGGGGCTCATCATCCCCCTGACTCTCAACCCAAGGCTTGGCTCCATTTTAAAGCCTTTTCACATCTGGGCCCAACTTAGCCCAAGGACCCCCCCTCCCCAGATGTCCCTCCCTCCCCTCCCACCTCCCCCTCTTATGTCCCGTCCCGTTCCCCGTCCAACTGCTTGGACATCCATCCTCCACCACCCTCCTGGCTGGGGATTATGGGCTCTGAAGTGGGCCTTGCCTGGAGGGGCGGAGGGTGGAGGCCAGGCTTCCCCCGCCCCACACACACAAACTTTGCCTTGAAAGGCGTGAAGAGAGAGGGAGGCGATTGCAAAGAGGGAGGGGGCGATGCATGCAGCAGCGCGGGGGAGGCCGGAGGAGAGGATGATGGGTACCGCAGTCCCGGAGCAAAGGCCCCGTTGCAGATCCGGATTGCATCGGGAGGGGGGGGGGAGGCCCAAGCCGCGATGGTGGTCCATTTGCAAAAAGGGGGGTGGTGGTCTTTTACACCTCCGACCCTCGGCCATTGCAGCATCCACCACCAGCAAGCCCCAACTCACCGGGCTGGATTCCTTCTTGTGCAATGCAAAGACCCCCGCCCTTTTTGTTTCTCTCTCTCTCTCTCCCCTTCTTCCTTTTTCCCTCTTCCTTCCTTTTTTTCCCCTCTCCTCTCCTCCCGGTGAAGCTCCCTAAGACTGCGCCATGTTGTCCTTCCTCCGGTTCACGTGACTTGGGGATGGGGGGTGGGAGAGGACAGACCCGTTCCCCCCCTTCCCCCCCAAGCCAGGCCGAGGAGGCGTTCCCACGACCACAAGTGGACGCGCGTTGCACGTGGGAACGCCTATGGGTGGGGAAGGGCGGGGATTGCTGGGAGGGGGGGCAATGTCTCCTCCACCCCCAGGAGAGATTCCCTTCTGTAGGGTTGAGTGGGGGGCTTGTGGGGATGGGTGGGAGAGGCGGATTTTTTGTTCGGTTTGGCCACTGCATCGACCCGGGGTGGGGTGGAGGAATGGGGACCTTTCCAAGAAGAGATAGACTGCCCATTTGCAAGAAATGGTGTAGGGTCTCCTGCTTGGGCAGTGGGTTGGACTAGATGACCCACAAGGTCCCTTCCAACTCTATTAAATCTGCTATCTGTCAGAAATGGTGTAGATGGTGGTCCTGCTTAACAGAGTTGGAAGGTACCTTGGAGGTCATCTAGTCCAACCCTCACCCAGCCACCCAAGCAAGAGACCCTACGCCATTTCTGACAGATTCTCCATTCTCTTAAAAGCCTCCAGGGATGGAGCAACTGGCAAGGAATAGCCAACACCCTAGATTCTAGGGCCTAGAAGATAGGCTCAAGATCCAGATGAATCTCGACAGATTTGAACCCTGGGCCCTTGCGTAAGCAAATGAAATTCAATGTATAGAAAAGTAAAGTCAAGAAAAACCNAACCTAACCCTAAACCTAACCCTAACCCTTAACCTAACCCTAAACCTAACCCTAACACTTAACCCTAAAGCTAACCCTAAAGCTAACCCTAAAGCTAACCCTTACCTTAAGTTGAATCGGCTTTCTTTCAAACCGCTATTTAAAGCGCCCTTCTTTCTCCCTGTTGATGACGTCAGCGACGTCGTTTAGTCGGGCGCGGTTTTGTCGTTCGCCCTTTTGACGGGTCACGAAAAATGAGATATCCAAGTTGGAAAAGCACAACATACTATGGTGAAAAGCAGAATCGGTGGGGGGGGGGGAATAGAGGAGAATTTGAGAGCAATAGGAGATGAGAAGGAGGTTGCAAAGGGACATGATGGTAGGGGTGAATTTCATGAGCATATGAATAAGGAAGATGTTTTTGCTTATATCTACAGTTCTCTGTGCTCTCATAAAGAAGAAAATAATCTGAAAGAAAAAGTTGTGGGTTTCTATTTTGAGGTCTAGGCCTCTATCTTATAGGCAGGTTCTTAGTTCATTTGCCTTTTAGTCTTAGCTTGCCTTTCTGGAAACAAGTAGCTTGTAATTGGCCATAGATAGTCATTTTGTGATGGTTTATGTGAAATATCTAGACTGGAAATATATATGCCATCCCTGATTAAATGAACGTAGCAAAATCATTCACATTATATTGAAATATTCCATTTGGACAGTTGAACAATGTTCAAGATTTCTGTGCCAAATTATTATTTGTTGCTCTTTAAATAGCACTGCTTCCATATTTTTATAGATTCTTTTAAAATTATTGTACAACAGAACAGATTTGTGTTACTGAATAATACAAAAGTAGCAACAAACACCTGACACCTGAGGTGTCATCTATCATTCATATCCATGAAAACATGCTGGTTTTGGAATATCATTTATTTAACTTTTAGATATATTTCCCAGGCTTTCATCAGCTGTCAATGCAAAAAAAAATCCCCTCAGGAATAGTTTTCAAAGGACATAAAAAGTCAGATGACTAGGTTTATTGTAGAAAAGTGGTAACATCATTATAAAAGAATCCCAGTGGTCCTTTTGAATTTAATTTTTGTACCTCTGTTCCCCTCCCAATCTCTATGGAGATTCTCAATCATCCAGGCCATGGTTCTCTCAAAGGTGTTTTTTTTTTCCAAAAGGCAGCTGGACTTCCTTGTTTCTTTTTTCTTTGAATTCCAAGAAAGTCCAACTGCCTTTTGGAAAAAGCACTTTTGGGACACTGATCATAAACATATAATTAATAATGTAGTATATATTGGATTGGATGGATAAGAGCTATGATCACATTCAGATGCTATGATCAATACACAATCAAACTGTATAAAGAAATGTTGCTTTAACATCTTCATCACAATAATTGCAGTTTTACCTGATTCCAACAATTTGACCTTACAGGAGCATAATATCAGCTCTGAACCAAACTAGTACCTTTTGTGATACTTGATTCAGCAGCATTTATAGTAAATTCTATACTATTTATAGAATAGTAAAGGTGATTAGATATATTGATTCATTTAGAGTGAACATACTTTTTTTTTGCTAAATGCAAAATTATGTATTGTAGAGACCATTAAAGATAATAAATATTGGGCTATGATCTTTTTCTTATCTTCTTCTTCTGTTTGTGCCATATCCATCATCAGACATTGGCAATTATGTTGGCAATCCTATTTTTGTCAACAAAAAAGTGCTGCTGAGTTTTGTCCAAACCAGCCCCTTAGGTTTTGAAGCCATGATGTTCTTCTTCTGCCTGGACCTCATTTGCCTTCAATTTTTCCCTGGAGGATTAAGTGAAGTATGCCAAATTTTCTGGGTGTCACATCACATGTCCAAAATATTCTCACTTTTTAATGGCTTTGATGATTTCCCTTGGCTTTCCCAGGTGGCTTATCACCTCCTCATTTGTGATTTTTGTCAAGCAAGCTTATATGTAACAGCCGTCTGTAAATCCACATTTCAAATGCTTCTAGTTTCTTCAAGTGGTTTCCTGTCAGAGACCAACTTTTTTCTCCGTAGAGCAGGATAGAAAAGATGTAACATCTGACAAGCCTGATTTTCAGTCTTAGGCTTATGATCGTGACTGCAGAAGACCGATTTCATTTTGAAGACTGCTGTTCGAGCTTTCTCTATCCTTGTCTTTACTTCACTGATCATATCCCANGCAAGCCACTCCCACAAAGGAGGCCACACCCACAGAGTAGGTTCGAACAATTTTTGAAACCCACCACTGGTATGTATGTATGTATGTATGTATGTCCAAGTAGGTTTTATATATATAGGAGCTCCTGGTATGTTGATCAGGAATAGAAATATCACTGGACCACTAAAATAAAACACCCAATGTAACTCTTATTCAAAGAACACGACTTTTGTCCAATTCAGTATTGGTTTTTGCAATGTAAGCCTCATTACCTCTCTAGCCTTAGCATTATCCATGTACTACTATACCAAATTAATTATTGCCCTGTACAGATTACAGGTATAAACCTAATTTGCATAACTACAGAGAGATTTAATCTCTCTCTCCTTTTAGAATTTGTTTGGCTGCTTCCAATGGTGCAATAAGGAATTTATGCTTCAATGGATTTGTGTGCTGGTCTCTGATTTAAATTAACTCTAGGGAAATTTTGAGAGAAAATTTTCCTACAATTGATGTAACAGTATCCAAGAAATATTTAGAAACAAAATTTAAGTCCCCACTTAAAAGGTTGACAGATTTATCGTGGCAAAAGTATTTAAGGGCTAGTATGTTGCATAAAAGCTAATGCTTTAATAAATATTTGCTTTTAAACTCCCAGAAGAATCTTGTTTAGTCTTGTTGGTGTTTTTACTGCAATAGAGTAACATGGAACCTATTTGGAAAATACTGCATCTATGGGGAAAAATCTACACTTACAGTCTGTAACAATTCGACACTTTTCTCAGTTGTTTCTTTGAATCAGTTTTTGATTCCTTGACTAGCCACTGCTGTTTTCCTGAGGTGGGGTTTTTTTGGGGGGGAGGGGGGGGTTGGAAATTTGCCATTGTCTTCTTCTGAGGGATGAAACAGATTGACTGGCACAAGGTCACCCAGCTGATTTTGTGCCTAAAACAGGAGTTCTATTCATATCTACTGTTTTTTAGCGCTCTCTCTCTCCCTCTCTGTGTGTTTTTAAGTCAGTTTTTAATTCCTGGTTGAGTCCTTACAATTTTCTTGGCAAGATTTCAAAAGTGATTTGCCATTGTCTCCTTTTTAGGATTAAGAGAAAGGGACTTGCCCAAGGCCAAGGCCATTCAGTTGGTTTTGGCCTAAGGCAAGACCAAAACTCCTGGCCTCTAGCCTGGTGCCTTAACCACATCACCAGCTGGCTCTCCCCTATAATTGATTATAAAATCCTGCAGAATTTAGATTTGGGATAGATAGCACATAAAGACTGCTTCTCCTGAACCTGAACATTTCCTGTTGATCCCTATTTTTTTTCTTAAATAATTCAGAAGTGCTTCAGATCCTTCAGCTGTTGATGATTTTATTCACAGAATTACTTTGGGCTTAATGTGAATTTTAAGCCCTGTTAAGAGATAAAGATGTTGGACTGGAACAAGTCAGCATCCCACCCACAATAATGGAAATAGCAGTGACTAATTTCAATATTAGCAGGAGGAAAGGCTTTAGAAATAAACCAGAAAAGAGTTGAAGCTGATTCAAAGTTAGTGAGGAAAAAATAAGGGTTCACCGACAAAAGGGCGAACGACAAAACCGCGCCCGACTAAACCGCGTCGCTGACGT